CTAGCCTCTGTGAAGAAAGTTAACTCTACTTCAGCCCAAACCAGCACACTCTCCTACCTCACCAAGGGTTTGGGACAGGTGGGGGAAGCCTTGCCTTGTCCTCAGCACACACTGACGTGCAGTGACACTGGTTTTGTGACCCAGTCAACTAAAGATGGGGGTTAGGAAACACAACATGGTAAAAATGGGTCATTTCAGGAACTGCTTCCTAGTGACTGTACCCACGTGTGTGTATACAAACATACACAGATGCATACAGGATGGGTGTGCATGGATCCATTATCCAAAATGCATGTGAAATGTGAATGCTAAGGGAGTAGGCACTTGTTAGGGAAAACAACTTCCTATTACCCCCCAGAGTTCCCATAGAGTCTGGGGAGGGGGAGTGCCTGGGGGAGTGCAGGGCCCAGCAAACAGCTGCTGGGGCAGCACTCCTGTCCCCACATCCCACTGTGCCCATGCAGAGGACACAGAGCAGCCAAACTCTGGCAGGGAGGACAGACACATTGAAGAATGGCTGGAAAGCTGCTCAGAGGGAAAGGCCCTGGGGGTGCTGGTGACAGTGCCTGGACATGAGCCCAGGTGTGCCCAGGTGAGCAAGAGGCCAATGGCTCCTCACCACTCACCCCCACCATGTGGGCCCATGCCGCCTGGGGCAGTGACCATCCCCCTGCACTGGGCACTGCTGAGGCACCTCCAACCCTGGGGGCAGTTCTGGGTCCCTCAGGACAAGAAAGACACTGAGGGGTTGGAACATGTCCAGGGAAGGGAACAGAGCTGGGGAAGGGTCAGGAGCACAAGGAGCAGCTGATGGAGCCGGGGGAGCTCAGCCTGGAGAGAAGGAGGCTCAGGGAGACCTGCTTTCTACAACTCCCTGCCAGGAGGTGCAGCCAGGTGGGGTCTGGGCTCTGCTCCCAGGGAACAAGGAACAGGAACAGAGGAAATGGCCTCAAGTTGTGCCAGGGAAGGTTCAGGTTGGATACTAGGGAAAATTTCTCCATGAAAAGGGCTGTCCATCCTTGGCACAGCTGCCCAGGGCAGGGGAGGAGTCACCATCCCTAGAGGGATTTGAAAAACGTGTGGCTGTGGCACCTGGGGACACGGTTGGCCTGGCAGCACTGGGGAACAGATGGACTCGATGGTCTTAGAGGGCTTTTCTCACCTGACTGACTCTGTGATTCCCTGACAGCCTTGCTCAGTGCCCACTGCCTTGTGCACAAATAGGTCATTTCTGCCATTGTAAGAGCTGACAGCATCTCCTTAATGACAATTTTTGTTTAACCAGCTGTAGAGACACATCCCTACAGCTGAGGCAGAGGAAAGGTGAGTCTCCTTTGAGCACCAGGCCCAGGCAGTGGGCCCAGCCTGGCTCTTGCACTCCTGTGTCTCACATCAGCAGGGATGTGAGTACTTCTCTGTACAGTACTTCTACTGGAAAGTACTGAAGGCTTGAGGAAAGATTGAATAAGGAATAAATAAGTGATATTCCTTTCTCATTTTGTACAATATGTAAATGAGATGTTAGTTGTACAGCTGGATTCTATGTCAGGGAAGTTATAGTCACCTTCAGAGTGTCTTTAAATAGCAAAACAAAACTAATTTTCACTTGTGATTATTAATTCATTTCTGTGTAGAGCCACTGTTGGGGTCGCCCATGTTACATGAACACAGTTCCTGTATGTACTACAACCACGTTAACATTTAACCCAGCATCAGTGCAATCTAGGTGAGTAATGTATACTCAGAGATAGTGACATAACTCATGAACGCCACAGCCAATGCCACAGCTCCCGACACACCGAGCCTGCCCTGCTTTCCATGCAGCACATCCCAAGCTGCCAGCAGAGCTCTCCGGGGAGCCGTGGCTGGAGGATCCCCCAGCAGGGCACGGGCCTTGCCCTGCTCCTGGCCTGGCAGCCCTTGCTGGGCACTCCTCGCCCCGCGCAGATCCCGCAGGCAGCGCGGCCTTCCCCACGTCCTTCGCTTCGCAGGAACAGCTGCGTCGCTTCATTTGTTTGTGGCTGAACAAATTCCTTTCTAAAGCTCCATATAAGGAGCTTGCAGGCACAGAGCTCTAAATAATCCCTTCAATCCTCCCGTTTGGAACGCTGCTGCTGCTGCTAATAATAATCCAGCCCAACATATAGGACAATAACATTTATTTGGAGCATGAGGGAATCCACATTATACAAACCTTTAGATTTATTTCTTGTTTCACTGGTCCATTTCTACAACAAATACATCAGATCTACTATATAATAAAATTATGTACATTTCCAAACAAGGTGGGGTTTGTTTATAAACCCTCTGCTATTCACATACAGTACTTAAACAACAGCACAATACATTATTTTCATACCTAAAAATGACAACTCTGGATTCTAATTTGTTTATGAAAAGTGGAAACAAATAAATTTACAATTGTCTTCCCTCCCCTTCCATTTCATACAAACACGTTACCCTAATGTGCTAGCCCCGGGCTTCGCTCGGTAAGCCCAGAGGGTTTTACAAGAACCCAGTTTTTATAGCTATTTATCTGTTTTTTAGAAAAAAAAAATCATTGCTTGGGAACAGTATAATATTAAAATGACTTACTGTACAGAATTTTATTTAAAAAAAAAAAGAAAAATCACAGCTCAAAATTGCTATTGGTAAATTCACACTCATTTACAAGTCTCATGTTTCCATGCAGTAATTTACTTGGATTTTCTTCTTTTTGACTGCATTGCACTGGCACTCGTTTCTGAAATCAAGAGAAGAAAACAAGCATGGATACGGAGTCGGTAAGCCATTCCCCAGAGGGGCACAGATTGCCCTGTTACTTTTCCAAACTCACATCAGAGTGCAAAGCTCTGGAGAGCAGGAATTCCCCAGCACCAGGACTGAGTTCAGCTGCATCACCTGTCACCCTGTCACCCCGTGCTGCCCCGGGGCATCACTGCTGGCTCTGGCATTTAGCAACTCCTAACAGCCTTTAAAAGAAGAGACAAACTTTTTACTGTTCCTTGAGTTCAGTTCCCCACGTGCCACAGCTCTGCTGGGCCAGTCCCAGAGGGAAGCAGAGCCTCGGGCACCGGCCGTGGCCGTCAGCCCCGGGCACCGCGAGATGTGCCATCCAACAACTAGGGCAGGTGTTTGGAGTCTGCCACGCAAGTTTACAACCTAGTTGTTTGAGTTCTTGGAAAGTCATTAGAAAACAAGTCTCTTCAGTGCACACTGAGTCACAGAACAGCTAATGCAGCGAGACACAAACAGCAACACCTGCAGAGCCACGGGGACAGCAGGTGACATGTCCAGTGCACTTACCAAGGCACTAAGTTTCCATTTCAAAACACAAAAAGAGTAAGGACCAAGGGCATTTGCATCTTTAGACTTTTTTCAAAATGTGATGTTAAATGTTGGCAATGTCTCTTTGGCTCTTTACAATGTTTTCCAAAAGCTATTGCAGCTGGGTGTATTTTAAGAGTTAAAAGGGAAAGAATTTCCAAGCCCATCTAAGACTGGAGCAGCAGCAATACAATTCCATGGCTGTCACACATTGCATGAGAAAAAACAATCAGCATCTCAAAATTTAACAAACTCAGAGCTACAGTAAATGCTGAAACAGCCCTTGCTGGCAAAGTACTCCAAAAAAGGGAAAATACCAAAGAGAACCCATTTTCACAAGTGAAACATCTCTACAGGCACAACTCCAGCCCCAGAGCCCCTCCAACAGCAAGGCTGACTCCGAAGCAGCTTCAGCACCAGCTGTCGCCACCCCTGCTGCTGCTCAGGGCTCCATGTCTGGGAGAAGGAACAGCTCAGCAGTACTCAAGTCCCTGTCCCAGTCCCTTGGGAGCACCAGCAGTTCCCTGGGAGCATGACCAGCACCTCCCTGAACTTGCCTGCCAGAGTGTGACACGGACACATGGACAAGGACTGACTCTCTGCATGTTCTCTTCTCTCACAGTGACCCTTCTGCCTCCTCCTTCCTTAGCAAAGGAGTTCCTACTCCAGCTGGTCCAAGTTTGCTTCTCTCTCCCTGCTGTATTTTTTCTCACTGCTGTTTTTGTAATGATTCAATCAGCCTCTGTCTCAAGAGGTAACTCCTCCCAGCCCCACATTCCCTGGAATCAGGGCTGTCTCGGGACACAGAAAACGTAAGAGATGTCCAGGAGGAGGCCAGGAGCACCCAAACCAGACTCACTCAGCTCTGATTCACTGACCAAAATGGACAACAGAGGAGGCACAAGTGGCAGAGCAGGCTACACCCCTGCAGTCACCTCACTAAGCTCCAGCCTGTCCCCTGGGCTGGCTCATTCTCTGCCCAGCTGGTGGCTGTGTGCCTGGAGATAAGGCAGTCACAGCCCAGGGACCGTGCAGTGAGCTGCAGCAGATCTTAGCAAATCCCCCACCCCACTCTGGCAGTTTCAGGTGCATGTCTGAAAAACAATGGTTTTATTTCCAGAGGTAAATGAAGTCCACAGGCAGCACAAACCCCTACAGGAGCTCTGGTATTATTTAAATCAGATGCACTTCCATGTTCCCACATTTTCAGAATTTGATGTGCCACTGGTTGTCATCTTTAGGTTTATCCAGATCAGAATGTGGGGCAGGTCACACACCTCAGATCCCCCCCAACCTCAGGCAGGTGTCACCAAAGGGATTTTACATTGGCTTCACAGTTTTTAAACTCCACAATCACCAAAGAATTTATTTTTACAATACAGACTTAGATTCCTCTGCACAATCCTGCCACAACAAGTAAACACAATTAAATTCAGCAGCCACAGAGGTGCAGAACGTAGAGATGCCCTGGGTAATCTTTGGAAGTCATTGCACAATGACATAGAGCTGAAAGGCTTCTCTGAAACTCTTACACCACAAATTCTCACCATTGCACTTTAGTATCTCCAGTGTGGAAAATGGTTGCTGAATTCAACTTGACTTCTTTTATAGTAATTTTATATTAACACCTCCTTGTTCTGTATATTATCTGCAATATATTGGTCGAGTGTTGCCTCTTGACGGTCTCTCTCTACCCTCTGGCATAACTTTGGTCCATTTTCTGACCCTTAAACACAAGGAGCTGACAGAGTTAGCTTCAGCCTGGCACTGGACCATGCACATCACACAAATGCTGCATAACTGGTAAAGACTGCAACCTGGCAGCACCTGCTAATGCTGTGTCTTAACAGCTTTGGGATCTCAGGAGTTCTTGGAAAGAAGAGCTGAGGCTCTGTGCTAGCACACAGCACTCCCTGATGCTGCAGCTGCCACCCCAGCAGCACGGGGAGCATGCCTGAAGCACAGCATTTGACTTGGCAAGAGCTGACTGTGCACCAGGAAGACTTAAGTCTCGTGTCTTTCGGGCGTCAGGAAAACGTCACTTTTTGAGCTGAGCACAGTCCTTTCATGGCAACACATTTCTGAATTCAACTTCAGCTAGGCAAGGTGCTGAGCACTATGGTGCTAAGTGCTGCAGGACACAAGTTCCACCAGTGTAACAGAGGGGAATCCCCCCAGGATTTACTGCGAGTGCAGATGTCAGTAAATGCTTCCACACCAACCTGGGGCTAAGTCCTTGGGACTAGAGTTAAAGCCCCCAACGTGGACCAGCTGCAAACCAGAGTTATGAGGCAGCACTGCAAGGGCAATGGCTGGGGGAGCAGGTTATGCCCTGCCCTCTCCACAGAAAGGATGGCTGTGCATGTTACCTTTTGCCGTGCCGGACGCAGAGGCAGGTCTGGAGGATCTCTTGCGCTGCCCATTCTCTACAGCTTCCTGTGAAGCAGCAGAATCCTCTGCTCTTGAATTTCTTCTGTTTGGAGTTTTAGACTTTTCACAATTCTCTTTTGTCTCATGACTAATAAAGTGGGACAAAATATTTCTGATGAAGTGTAAGAAGGATTATGCTTTCCTAAGCAAGTCAGACAAGCTGGAGGATGGCCCCACACAGGCCCCAGTTCCGGACTATGAGCACTGAAGATATGAAACGCTAGAGATACCAGAAGGTCTATCAGATGAAGAATGACCTGAGTAAGCCAGAGTATAGTCCATTTCTATTAAAAATTATCAGAGGATACAGAATTGAGAAGTCCTCAAAGAGAATATTTTCAACATTAGAAGACCAAGAAATTAGATGCATTACAAATTGTCTGCTCTGCTTTCCACTGGTGCCACCATTACTGAAGTCTAGGAAAAGCAAACAGGTTACATTAGAGACTGTTGCAGTGTGGGGATACAGAGTTGAAATTGCAGATGAACATCAGGAGCAATTAGGAACTGTTCAGGGAGTATGCCAGCTAAAAAAACTCACTCCATTGAGCCAAGTCAGTTCTCCATGTACTGAAAAAGCTTAAGGTGTATTTAAAACTTTCTTCAAGCTTTAAAGCTTGAAGTTAAAATACTTTCTTTTGGTAACAGAAAGCTTCTTCTGCTAGAAAAAGTAGTAATTTCAGGTACTGTGGAAATCTGTGTTTCTTGCCACTGAGACAATAAATGGAGCTACATTTTGTAATTTAACTCCTTTATTTTATCACTCAAAACCCTGTGAACTCACACTGAGCTTTGGCTGTTTTCTCCTCAATGCATTAATGCCAGACAATTTCTGATGACTAGGCAGTTTCAGAAGATGAAGCTAAACTTCTCTCCTGTGAATTCAAAAGGTAAGGAATTACCCAAATAAATGCTGATTATGGTAAAGCTCATGTCAGGCCCTTTGGGCAGTACTTGCAGGATTTCAGGAGAGGCTGCCTGAGTCAGACCAGGGTGAACACACAGCCCAGGGTGTACCTGTGTGTGACACAGGCCCCACTGCAGTGTCACCACGCAGGGAAGTCCTGCTTTGGGGGGAAAAACTGCTATACAAACTTGTAGGGTTAAATAACAGATATCTGCCATGAAACACAGTTTGTCAGAGGAAGGAGAGACAACATTGTCGAGCAGACACACACACAGCAGAGACCATGGAGGTATGTGGGCTGTCTCAGATCAAAATGAATACTGAAATCTATTTCCCCATAAGGCAGTATCAGAGGCAATCTATAAACTGAATCCCCCAAACAGGTCTCAAACTGCTCTTCTCCCATGGAACTGGGGTGGTTGAAGCAGCAGTCACCTACTTCTGAGGACACCCAGAGGGAAGCAAGTCCAGGTTCAGCTAATGCAGGTAACAGATACAGGGGCAGTGACTACATCCCCAGCTGGGATTGTTTCATAGGAACCAACACATCACTCCCCTCTTTTTACAGGAGGAAATCAAGTTGGTGCAAGTGCAAATATCTCTAGTGCTTTGTCGGTTTGTAGGTTCCTCTAAGGTTTTTTAATGGCTTTAAACTGAGAGTAGGTTTAGATTAGGTATTAGGGAATTCTTCCCTGTGAGGGCAGAGAGGCACTGGCACAGGTTGCCCAGAGAAGCTGTAGCTGTCCCACCCCTGGGAGTGTTCCAGGCCAGGTTGGATGGGGCTTGGAGCAACCTGGGCTAGTGGAAGGTGTCCCTGCTCATGGCATGAGCTTCAAGGTCCCTTCAAACCCAAACCTCCTATGATTCTATCGAGGTTTGTGTGTAACTCTAGGAGTTACCTGTGTATGGTGTCTAACTCCAGGAGCCCAAGGTTGCCTGTAGTAATAACCATTGCCAGACTCACAATTTGCCTGCAAACCTTCCTTCTTTTCCTGTCTTGCTCAGAAAAGCTACAGGCAGAAAAACCCAAAGAGAAATGACCCTGCAATAATTTGATGTGACAGTGAGTCTGGAGGTGGTCACACAAGGACACTTCATTTGGAGAATCTGCTCAACTGCCAAGGTCCCACCTTCAGCTTTTTAGGAAAATCCTACCCTGAAAGAAACTTGCTGTGAAATTTCAGCTATCTTGGACACAATTTAAAAGATGCTAAATCCACACAAGGATAAATATATTTAAATATTCCATTCAGAGTAATTCCTGATCTGAGGAAGTGTACTGCACTCCCTGCACTACAAAGGAAGACACGGCCTCATCTCCTGAGGAACCCTTCAAAGAGTTGCACCTCTTGCCCTGGCTTAGAGGGTCATTGCACTGCCTTGGCACCTGAAGCCTGTCCAGCTGTGCCAGCACAGTTAGCCAAAACCTCCCTGAGGTCTGTCACTACAGACTGGGTGTCAGAGCCTGGTGTGGCTAAGAGTCTTGCAGAAGTAGATCTTGGAAACCCTATTTTCTTCTGACACAACACAAGCATTTTGTCTGAATCAGGACAACATGAAGCTTCTACCTGGTTTTCCTATCAGGTTTCAGCAAAGTGTCAACAAGAAAACAGAGGAAAACTGGAGAAAACAACTAGGAAGGCAGAAGGAAAACAAACTTCTGAAAGACTTCCTTTAGGAAAACAGAAATGCACATGACAGCTAAGCTTCAGGCTTTGGGGGGTTAGTTTTGATTTGTTTTCAGAAAATATCAAACAGTGGAACCAGCAAGACCCTCCCAGGGCATGAAACATCCAGCCTGAAGGGATGAGAGGAAACATTGTCCAAAGCACAAAGACAGATTTGGGAAAAAGTCACCTTACATTCTGCATTTCAGCAATGGCTTGGAACATTCAACTGGCCTCATTTCTTAGCAGGACAGAAAGGGTATGGCCAAGAAAATGAAAAGCAGTAGCAGAAGTTGAGCAATTGAAGCAAAGAGAAAGATACTTCCTCCCAGGAAAGCTACATCTACTCTGAATCCACACAAACTATCTCCTTACCTTTGACCAGCAACTACTGCAGCATTTGTCTCAAGTTCTACAAGAGAAAAAGATAGTTTTAAATTCTGCTGTAGCAGTACATACCTGCTGACAAGGCATGGCTAGCTCACAGTTTTCTATCAGGTACTAGGTCTGAAGAATAATTCAAACTAACACACCAAATACCACACAGGGCTCGGTCTGACTGCAGCTGCTCTGGCTACAGCAGGGAGAAGTTAAAACCCCACAGGAGAAAACTGCAGAGAAACTCCCTGACAAGAGCTGCAGTCTTCTCCCTTTGTTAACTTCCATTTTAGACAGTTTATTTCTTCTAAAAGTTCTATGTTTTATTAGTTTTAAACTTAAAAATACCCATCTGGCTCTACCATTCATGTCAGTTTTGCCTTAACCCAACCACCTTTCACAGCAATATCTTCTAATGCAGAGGAAGATAAATTTCTGAAGCCCAATTACACTTGGACAGAATTGGAAACAATCTCAGGGGAGATGATGCAAAGAGAAGCCTGACCTGCCTTCTCTCTCTCTCATGGTGATTTTACACACACAGGTCAGGTTTCCTTTGGAGTCCTCAGCTCAGCAAACAGCTCTCCTTTTCAGCCATCTAAAATCTCAAGTCTTTTTACTGTCCATCTTTTAATTCTCCCCATATCCACCAGACTCTTTGTTGAGAGGGAGGATTTTTACCTAAACACAGCCTCTCTCATGAGAAACTGCCACAGATTTAAGGATTACCATTGCAAAATCATGGATTAACTCCCAGTGTGCTCCAGCTCAATCCCAGCCTCGAGGGCAGTGGGGCACAAACTGAGGCTTTGCCTTTGGGATCAATTTAGGACCCAAAGTCTGCTAGAGTGAGCACAAGGAACAAGGTGTAAAAAAGGTTTGAAAAAAATCTGTTCTCTTATGGTAAATTTGCAGTGTTGGCACATCAGACTCTTCAGTGTAAAGGCATATAGCACTGTCTGGGAACAACATGTCTTGGGAGCAAAGGAGAACAGACTAAGCAAGGTAAGAAAAGAGTTACATTTCTTCCAACCCGAATTTGAACAGGGAGGACAACCAATGGCAAAAACTGGCTATTTCATCAGTGCTTCCCCCCAGCAGGAACTCCCCAGTACAGGCATAGCAGCATGGGGCAATGGGTCAGATGTGAACCAACGGGGAGTACGAGGCACCTTTGCTATAGTGGCAGTTCAAAGGAAACAATTTACTACAACTTTTACTTTCTGAAAACTCTCCTCCTAATCAGGCTAGAGATGGGAAATGGATGGAGAGTGGCATTTCCCATAAGCAAGGCCAGTTATCCATTTTTCCTACTCAACTTAAGAGATGGCTTATATAAACCGTGATGGAATTGATGATGAAACACCATTGATAATAGGTGGCAGCCCCAAAAACTCATCTGCTAGGGCTCCAGCCTGGAACACTGCTGAGGGGTCATTAAAAGCTGAACAGAAAAAAGGGATGACAGACCTGAAACTCATACTCCCAGCATGGCTTTGGGAAATATGTTCAGAAGGGTATAAAAGTAGAACTCTTACTAGCTCTGAACAGAACTGCAACGCTCAAACACAAGATGTGGTAACAAATCCAGTCCCTCTGGTTTATCCCTAAATAGCTAAAGCCTTCCTGGGTGATTTTGTCATGTTTTACTTGATCCCATACTGAATCTCCCACAAGGCTTTGAAGACTTCTAAAGCACAATATATTTAGCACAGAAAAGCAATCCCAAAAGCACAAGGAGGAACAAAAACCCCACCCAACGCCCAAACTGCCCAACATGTTAGTGATCACATTAGTGAGTATGAATTTTCAGTCCCAAAAATAAAGGGTTTAGTTCACCTCTATTCTGCTTTTCCCAGTGAGGATTTACCTGTTCTTTGAACAGTACTTTCTGGTGTTGCAACTGAACTTTTTTTCTGTGTTAAGTGTTGAGAGGATGCTAGAATAAAAGTGGAGGGAAAAAGCATTATTGTCAGAGGGAGCCAAAGGGATTCCTGGGGCTGCTGGTGCAAAATGCTCTGTCTCCCAATTTGGCATTTACAGACCCAATATTTTCCCCGTCCCCCCACCACACACCTCCCCTGCTTTAAAACAAACTTTGGCAAAACTGCCCCAAGCAAGTTCTCTCAAACTAGAGTAAGTGATGACATTAAGTAGCATAAACCACATTTTTCAAGGTAACAGTTTTTCAGCAGACTGAGAAAACAAAGGGAGTCCTAGAAATGCAATAGTTTAGTCTCTCTTATTACAAAGATCATTTCAACAGAGGTTCTGGGTAAAAATAGCATCTTTGTTACTGAATCAATGCCTTCACTTTTGGAGTTACAGTGCCAAATATGCTCCAGAGTTGTACTTGAAGTCTCTGGCAATAAGATGACGTGATTTAACATTTCTTAGGTTGCCAAGTGAAAAAAAACAAGACAGAAACAAATTTTTTGTTGGGCTACACTTACATGTGACAATGAAGTTATGGAGAACAGGAAGACAAAAAGTTAAACATTCCTGTTTAAATACAGAATATCCACTTCCATTTTTCTCCTAAAGAAACAGAATTGCTTCTGTGAAGCTCAAGGGGAACATTTCCCTTCTCCAGTGGCACAGAGCCACAACATCCAACAGCCACAGGGAGAGCCATGCTCAGGCTGAAGGTCTCAGTTCCCCTGACCTCTGTGGATTTTATCTTCCACAATTTTATCTCCTATGTCTAAGTCATGTTGTAAAGCACCACAGACACTCAGCTCAGTCCAGGAGTGATGGGTATATTTCCACACCATTAAAACTGGCATCAAGCAATGTCATATAGAAAGTCTGCCAGATGCTCAAGGAAAAAAAGCAAAGGGGAAAACAGTTCAGCTGTGAAGGTATTTTATGGCTTTTTATTGAATGCAATTAACTTATAATCAATTTTTCAGGAATTTCTCTAAAATAAGCAGTTAAGGTTTTCCCTAGACAAAAGGGGTTTTGGTATGAGGTTTTTTTTCCTTCTCTTCTGGAGGTTATTCAACGATTTCCCTAGAGGATTAAGGTTATTCAAAGAGGGAAGTCATATTATTAGGATTAATTCAAAATACCATAATTAAGTCAATAAACTGGAATAATTTACAAAAATAAGAAAACTCTGGCAAGGCTGAAGCAGAATACCTGTGTATCTACCAGTACAAAAGGCACCTGAAGTATTTGTCATTGCTGATACATCCACTTTTTCTCTCTGCTTTCAGCAGTTGTATGAAGTTAACTCCTCTGCTACTGCACCATATGTTCACTGAAGCAGCAAATGGAAGCTCACACACCCCAATGGGAAACACCCACTGGGGTACCCCAGTGGAAATACCCCACTGGGCAGTAAATGGAAACTGAAATAAAACATCTGGAACGTGAACCTTGGTGAATCACTCCAACATTAGCAACACAAAAGCAGCTGTCAGCCTTGGCTGCAGTGACTGGTTCTGCCCATGGACAGCACCACCCGGGGATTCACAGGTTCAGAGTGTGTTAAGGGGTTGGAATGGAGCTTAGAGATCATATAGTCCCAACCCCTGCCCTGGGCAGGGACACCTCCCACCAGAGCAGGTTGCTCAAGGCTTTAGCCAACCTGGCTGTGAACACTGCCAGGGCTAACACTGCCAGGGGGGCGGGGGCACAGCCTCCCTGGGCAACCTGTGCCAGTGTCTTCAGAGAGGCAGTGTCATTTCCTCCCTCACTCTGCACTCACCTGTGCTCTGCAGCAGCTCGGGGGCAGCCCCCGCTCTCTCCTCAGGGGCGGCGCCGCTGTGCTCGGGGTCGGG